TTGAGTAATCAATTTGATTTGCTCACGGATGATGAGAATGATCCATCATCCAAGAAAAATTCTAGTAAACTTTCCCGGCTTAATGCCAAGAAGGAAAAGATTCCCCCTATTGTGATAACCACTACCGATTTCCATGCTCTTCGCATGGAACTTTTGAATTTCGTGAAAGTTAAGTTTTCACTACAAATTGGACGTCGGGGTGAATGCCGTGTATTGGCTGAAACCTTGGACGGATTTAAATGTCTTCTCAAGTATCTTACTGAGAAGAAGCACAAATTTTTTACTTACGACACCAAAACTGAACGTGTGTTCAAGGTTGTCATGAAAGGACTGCCCAGTGGTGAATCCCTGGATCAGATCAAAGATGAACTGGCAAAATTACTTGGAGTTGTGCCACTCCAAGTAATCAAAATGAAAATGAAATCCCGTCCTGGCGATTCGCGCAACGGGATTTCTAATGATTTTTATTTAGTTCACTTCAAGTCTAGTGAACTAAACAACCTTTAGGCCTTAGAAAAAGCTAGCCTTATGCTCCATGTCCGAGTGAAGTGGGAACACTTCAGGAAGACTGGAGGAAATTTCCAAAACCTCACTCAGTGCCGTAAGTTCCAGGGATGGGGTCACGGATCTAAAAATTGCTACATGCCAGCTAAATGCATGAATTGTGATGATTCCTCTCACGCAAAAGACGACTGTCCTTGAAGGAAGATCCTAAGAAATTTAAATGTTCAAATTGTGGTGAAAACCACAAATCCAATTTTTGGGAATGTAAGACCCGCAAAGCGATCCTACAATTTCGTTCTAAGCGACAGGTAGGAAACGCTAATGGAGCGAGTTAATGGAGCTACCTATGCTGCTATTGCAGCGGGTAGAAATCAAAATACTAACCAACGTAATTCTAACGGAAATTTTGACAATTTTGACTTAGGAAGCATTACTGCCCCTAAAATGGAATTTTTACAGAAATCATTAATTGACATGATTTCTGATATGCTTAAATCTAACTCCATGTTTGATGCTATTCAAACTGGAGTAAAATTGGCAAACAATATTGTCATGACTTTGAAATTTAGTAATGGATTTTAAAGCATTGAATATTTTAAATTGGAATGCTCGATCTCTTAAAGATAATGAAGACGAGCTATTTAACTTTTTGAGAGTTCATAACGTGCATATTGCCGTTATAACTGAAACGTTCCTTAAACCTGACCATAAGGTTAAGAAGGATACAAATCATTTTATTTATAGAAATGATCGTCTTGATGAACCCTGTGGTGGCGTTGCCATCATTGTTCATAGACGAATCAAACATAAAATTCTTTCTTCATTTGAAACCAAAGTTTTTGAAACTTTGGGAGTTTCTGTTGAAATAAAATTTGGACAACTTACGTTTATAGCTGCCTATTTGCCATTCCAATGCGTAGGCTAGCAAAAGAATTGTCTCAAGGGTGACCTTCAGAAACTTACCTGTCACAGGTCTAAATTCTTCATTATTGGTGATTTTAATGCAAAACACCGCTCATGGAACAATGCTCAAAGCAATTCCAATGGTAATATTCTGTTTGATGATTGTTCTGCAGGTTATTACACTATTCAATATCCAAACAGCCCAACATGCTTTTCTTCTGCAAGATATCCCTCAACTATTAATTTGGTCTTAACTGATTCATGTCAACTTTGTAGCCAATTGGTTACCCATGCTGACTTCGGTTCTGATCACCTTCCAGTAACTTTTGAAATATCCCAAGAAAAAATTTCTGATCCCAACAGCTCTACTTTCAATCACTATAGAGCTGATTGGGAGCAATATCGAACATTTATGAAATAAAACTTCGATCCAAACATTCCTTTGCAAAAAGATTAAATTAATTATGCTCTTGAATCTTTGACTACTTCTATAGTTGAAGCAAGAGCTGCCTCAGTACCAAAATGCGAGGTTAAATTCGATACAATTATAATAGACGACGATCTTCAGCTCTTGATCCGTCTTAAAAATGTCCGTAGGAGACAATATCAAAGAACACGCGATCCTGCCATGAAAGTTATCTGGCGGGATTTGCAAAAACAAATTAAAAAGCGATTCTCTGCCCTGAGGAACAAAACTTTTGAAAATAATGTTTCTAAATAAGACCCGAGTTCCAAACCCTTTTGGAAACTCACAACATTTTTGAAAAAACCTCAAAAGCCAATTCCAGCGCTTAAATAAGGTGGTACAATTTTGATTACAAATTTGGAAAAAGCTCAGAAACTTGCTGAGCAATTCGAGAGTTCCCATAATTTCAGTTTGGGTCTTACTAGTCCTATTGAGAATCAGGTTGATCGGGATTTTCTGAATATTTTCTCTCGGGAAAATATTTTTGGTGATTCCTGGGGGACTGATTTGGACAAAGTAAGATTTTCTATATCCTCATCAAAAACTCCCAGAGAGTACCTTGTCTTTCTTGGTAAAATTATTTAACAGATGTTTCCATTTGGCATACTTTCCTGATAAATGGAAAAATGCAAAAGTTGTTCCAATTTTGAAGCCGGATAGAAATCCAGCTGAAGCTTCTAGCTACCGTCCAATAAGTTTGCTTTTTTCAATAAGTAAACTTTTTGAAAAGATTATTTTAAACAGAATGATGCTCCACATCAATACGAACTCAATTTTTGCAGATGAGCAGTTTGGATTTCACCATGGGCATTACAACCCCTTATCAACTCTTAAGAGTTACCAATTTAATTCGTTCAAACAAATCTGAAGGCCACTCAACTGGAGTTGCTCTTCTAGACATAGAAAAAGCATTCGACAGTGTTTGGCATGAAGGTTTGATTGCTAAATTGAAAAAGTTTAATTTTCCACTTTACATTATGAAATAAGTTCAGAATTATTTAACTGACAGAACTCTGCAGTGCAACTTATAATACTTCCACATACGCCTAGAGCTTCGTTTTTGAAACCTAGTAGTAGTCACATAGTGACTATGAATGGAGTTCCAATTTCCTGGTCAAACCAAGTGAAATATCTTAGATTAATACTTGACCAAAAATTAACTTTTAAAGATCACATTGAGGGCATTCAAGCCATATGTAACAAATATATAAAATGTTTGTATCCTCTTATAAACAGCAAATCCAAACTTTGCCTGACGAATAAACTTCTAATATTTAAACAAGTTTTTAGACCGGCCATGCTTTACGCTGTGCCAATATGGTCTTGTTGTTGCACTACCAGGAAAAAAGCACTTCAAAGGATTCAGAACAATGTTCTGAAGATAATTTTGAAGTTGCCTCCCTGGTACAGTACTACCGAGGTACATAGAATTTCGAATGTTGAGACTTTAGAACAAATGTCCAACAAAATAATGAATAATTTCAGGCAACAATCGTTGCAATCCTCAATTACAACGCTTAATTCCCTTTATACTTAGATAAGATTTAGTTTTAGTTTTTAGTTTTAAGATATCAATTGTTATACTGACATGCAGGTTTAAAAAACCTGTTTAAAATACTGAATTGCCAAGACAGGAACAATGTAAAAACACTTAGCTATATATCATAACAATAAAGGCTGGTAAGTTACTGTAGTAACTGGAGCACCTAGGTTAAAATGAAATGTAATTTATTTTGAATTTGGAACAAATAGAGAGTTAAAAAAATTAAATTGATGCAATTGATCCAATAATAGTGTATAATAGAACTTCTTTTACAAAGCATTGTCAAACTTATCGAATTTATTGCTCAACGTCTCGTCTTGCTTCTACTACAAGCCTTGCAATGTTGTTCAATGTAACTTAGAAACATGTGATCTGGGTAGTAATATGTTACATGTTCTTTGGCCATATTCTGAATAACATACATTAAGGCTTTCAATATGAACAAGGTAATATAGTTATTTAAACCCATTTTCAGCAAACATGAAATCCAAGGATAAATTAGTCAAACTTAAAGTGATAGATTGTTAATATCAGTATGGTTGACATTTCGAGTTCAAAGCACAGCACATCAACAACGATGTGCAATACAATCCAAAATGAAGTGATTTGCTGTTGATTTCATCGTGCTTCGATATGATCTCTTTCCGAAGGATTTGACTTTGCATGAACATGTTTTTTTACCGTGTAACTTTTTTCATTTTTAAATTTTGTTTAAATAAAGAGAATGTTTATCAAATAAAAACCCTTGCCGGGAATATGCATATGAACTAACGAATGCAATTTTTTCTTCATCAAGGGCCAAAAGCGACAAATGCTAAAAATATCATATTATTGGTTAACCAGATTTATTTCATGTTCGGTTTGCGGCTCCAAATGTTGACCAACCACTTGTTGCTCCCTTTTTCATTAAGCTTTAAACTCAAAAGCAAATGCTTCTATGGCCAAAGGGGCAATTTCCAGCTATCCATCTAGCATGAATAGCTTAACACCTCACGAAGCCTTCACTTATCACCTTTCATAACTCGTATCCGCAGGTGGTTTCATCGTGTATAGCTGTTCAACCGGCACCTATTAATCCTGCTGCATAATTTGTGAACTTCCCTTTTGTGCTTGCTTTTCGTGACACGTCCACTTCCAATTCAATATATCTCTACATGAGTGTATATAATCACCTACGTACTCGCTGTTGGAACGATGGGACATTTTTAAATTCCATCACTATAAAAGTGAACCGATCGTTCTTTTTCCATAATTGTACAGAGCCTCACCAGCACATTGTTCATGTTGACCAACTGCAACCACTCCACCACGGTTGGTGCAATATAAATCAATATTTCGTGCATATAGATATTGACACATACTCAGTTGGCATTCCATCTACCATGGAAAAATGGACGCAAGAATTCAGTCACCCAACGTAGAAAAGTGTTGTACTATAATGTTTCCGGAATTTTCATCGAAAATTTAAACCATCAACTCCACCGTCCACTACAGGCCGACGACACACAAATGCCAAGTACTTTCATCACTGAAAATATACGTAAGCTTGGCACAAAAGCCGCCTGCGGTAAAATGTTCACTCACCGCCGATCGTTTCGCGAAGCATTGGATAGCTTTGATAGATTTCAATCAATCCGGCTCCATGCACCATTATGACCGCGCGCCTTTTCCCCGAATAATGGATGCAACTGAATCAAATGGTAATTACCGACGATTTATCCAAATCCAGCGATAATGCTTCGCTTGGTTTTTCGCCCATGATTTCCTGTGATATCTACATGGGCACAATCGAAAGGTGATTTCCATCACTACCTTTCTTTTCAGATGTCGATTTGGTCAACTCGCACGATTCCCGGATAGCAATATTCAATCGCGTGGCTTCGAGCGAAACAAAACCAACACTGATGGGTGTATCTTAGTTCATATTTTCTCTAACGCTTCAGCGACTCAGCTGGATGTAATTAGATTATAGTGTATGACTGTTGGCTGGCTCGTTGGTTGGCCCGAGACATAATAGCGCTGGTTCGTGGTACCCCGGCTAATCATAATGTGCCATGAAGTCTTTTGAGGAAAACCCACCCCAATGAGTGAATCACGGTAGCTGCCGATAAAGGTAGGGTAAACAGTTATAATGCGTCCCCTTGAGGGGGCGTCCAAAGTCTACCGTTTTCTCTTTCATTAACGGATCAATCGCGTAGTGGCGTTGCTTTGGGTATTCAAAATAAGTTGTAATCATTTTTTTCTTCAGTAGCACTTAAACAAAAAGTTAGAAAACATTTTTCGATACCGCTTAAATCCTCGGTTCTTCAACCACGGTTTAAAGTGCCCCAGCTATCATATAATCAGCCCCCACAACTAAGGCACAGCATGCTCTATACAAATATGATAGTAGGCCTTATAGATTCCATAGATAATTATGATGGTCCCACCTCTTACCCCTACAAATGTTTGAGCTGGACGATTTATCTCTAAGATAATTAAATGTAAACATTTTAACCAGGTTAGCAAAAAAAAAACCGAGATGGTTTCATTTACAGATATAAATTCCCTCTAGAGTTTACAGTTGCTTCACAGCGATATAAATGTGAAAAAGCTTAGACGTCCACGTCTTAGTTCGCCTTTTTGTTCACCTAAAATATTAATATAAGTATTACAAGCGATCAAGAGTCAATGAACAATCAACAAAGCATCCTATTACACTAGCAACCCCGCAATCTGATGCTATCATAATTTTCAGCAATGTCAGGAATGCTAACGAACCCCCAACATTTGCCAGAAAACTTACTACTAACTCAAGGTATCTTCCAAATAAGCTTTAAAATTGCATTTTTTTTTTTTTTCAAATGTTAAATTCAGTTCTCTATATCCGTAATACGCGCGCGAGGCTCAAAACCTTTGTAGAAGACTATTTTTTTTACTACTAGTGGTGTTTGCCCCACAATGTGGAAGCTCTGGAGAAGATCGTATATGAGGTCGTATATCAAGCGGTTAGGCCAATAATTACCGAACATCAGCACGGCTTCGTGAGGAAACGCTCTACAACAACCAACTTAATGGTGTTTGTCAACTCGCTGATCAACTCCATTGAAAAACGACGACAAGTTGATGCGATCTACGTGGACTTCAGTAAGGCGTTCGATAAGGTTCCACATGTGTTTGCAGTGGACAAAATGAGGTGTATGGGATTACCTAATTGGGCCACGAAGTGGCTACAGTCTTACTTAACTGACCGCTCAGCCTATGTCAGCATTAACGGTGTTAATTCGCCTAGTTTCGAGATACCCTCTGGTGTTCCCCAAGATAGCCATTTGGGGCCTTTAATTTTCATCCTGTTCGTGAACGATCTGTGTAGTCGACTGTGTTCTTCGAAACTTATGTTCGCCGATGACTTAAAGATCTTTCGTACAATTAAGTCAAGACTTGACTGTTGCGCACTCCAGAAGGATATTGATTCCCTTTTGCGCTGGTGTACATTGAACGGTATGCAGGTTAATGTCACAAAATGCTACGCAATATCTTTTAGCCGTTCACGCGAGCCCTTACGACATGACTATAGGATAGGACTCAGTAGTTTGCTCTTCGTTTCTTCAGTTAAGGATTTGGGTGTTATCATCGATTCTAAAGTCAGATTCAATCAGCACATCTCCATGATAACTGCTAAAGCATTCGCCACATTAGGTTTCTTGAAACGAAACACAAACGCATTCCAGGACATCTACGCGCTGAAATCACTATACTGTGCTCTCGTCCGCAGTCTTCTAGAGTATGCTGTTGTTGTGTGGGCACCCTTTCACGCTATTCAAGCTAACAGAATCGAAGCCATTCAGCGAAACTTCGTATGATACGCTTTACGTGTTCTGCCCTGGAACGATTCGGTAAATTTGCCGCCTTACGAAGAACGGTGCAGGCTGATTGACCTGGACACGTTGGCAGCAAGGAGGAAACTACTTCAGCGACTCTTCGTGTTTGGATGGCTTAACGGTGACGTGGATTGCAACTCTCTTGTGAGCCAAATCTACATCAATGCTCCTCAAAGAGTTCTACCATAGAGGTAACTCTAAGACCAGAAGGTCCCGAAGAAACGTGCTCAACTTTTTGGCTCAGCTCTGGTACTATCTTCGGTCCCAAGCTAATCGATTCACCCCTCGAAACATAGGAAAATCCAATAACCCCTCATTTTATCTGTCAAACTTTCATAGCGAATCAAAACAAACATTGTGTAGTAGTAGAATTTTGACTAGAATTGGGTACGTTAATCGATTTGCTTGGGACCAATAGGCTAGTCAAGTAGTGAGCCAATTTAAAATCGTTAGTTTCGTATTGATTGTTGGTTCTACGTAGCTACACGCTTCTGTGGCAACCTACCCATCGGACCAACTATGGATTCAACGAACCGTGGACTTTGTGCTGTCGTGTGTTTAATGAAACGTTTGATGTATATGATTTTAACATTAGTAAGTCTACTTACAGACATAGAATTCGACTCCTAGCCTAGAAAATATCTGTACAACATTATGTTGAAGATTTAATTAAATAGGGGAAATGACGGCTTCGGCATGACAGACTATTTTCGGCAACCCAAATTGAAACGCTAATTACACTGGATTTTCTTACGAAAACACTTCGCTGAATGCATTAAAACGATTCTTTAGGCTTTCAGCTTCAAATTGATTATAATTTTACCACTGAGAAAAAGCAATCTAGCAGGGTTTTCTTGAAATGAAACACACGCACTATAAAATGCTGCTGATATCGATGAAAACACAGCAGTTTAACACGCAGCTCAATAGAAAGGTTGCCGAATAAAAAGATGTTGCCCACAATAGTCGCTCTCACTAGAGAAGATTGGAGCTTTGTAAAAGTGTTTCAAAACGGTTTTTGACAATTCTTTCGACTGGAATTGTTAGAGCAGCTGGCAGCAAAAGATTGTAAACACACCAATACTGTATATGTATGCGTTCCTCAGAGAAAAAGGCTATAGAAAGATGGTCACTGCTTAGGTTGCCGAGAATACGTATATTCCCCTAAATAAATAAATAAATCAAATATCAAAAATCCATCATCACCATCGTGGCGAACAAAATAGTTTTTGCAGTGCTGCAATAATTATTAAAAAGTCGTTATAACAGCTATTCATACAAAATAATCCGTTAAAAATAACTTCGTCAAGATACATAATTTGTCAATCCATAAAAAAAAATCACTGGATAATCGTTCAAAAGACAGTTTTAATGTGTGAAATGCAATGTCTCTTAAATTCTGCTAATGTTGTTGCACGTTTAATGTGTCTAGACATTGAATTGAACACATTTATTCCTTTAAAAAATAATGAATTCTGTGAAGCACAAGTCAAGAAATGTGGTGTTCTTATTTCATCCGCGTTTCTAGTATTATATCTATGAAAGTCACATCCTCTTTCAATTCGATCACACAAATATCGAGGCAGCAAACCGTTAACTACTTTAAAAATGAACACCATAGTCAAATATACAATTCTTTGCTTCACCGACAACCATTGTAAGGCGTCTAGCATCAAAGTCGAGGAAGTGAATCTATTACATCTCAAAATCAAACGCATTATTTTATTCTGCAAGCGCTGTAATCTCGATATTTGTGTTGCATTGGACAGAAATAAAATGGATGGGCAAATGTCTAGATGAGGAGAGATGATTGATTTGTATAGCTGTATTTTACTGGCAATAGTTAAATCGTTTTTCAATCGACATAGAATTCCATACTTCTTGGCAAATTTCTTGATGACATTGTCAATGTGAGAGTTGAACTTAAGTTTGTCATCAATAATCACGCCAAGAAATTTAATCTCCTGAACGCGATCAATAGTCTCATCATCAATTACAACAGAGACGTTCTCATTTAATCGATTCCGCGAAATAACCATAAATTTAGTTTTACTTGTATTCAATTTTAACTGCTTACACTTCAACCATCTACTTAGATACTGCAAATCTTCATTCAAGTGTGAGACGGCAACTTCTAAATCCTTAGCTGCAATGAATAACACAGTATCATCTGCAAAAAGATTAATGTCTCAAAATCGTAAAACACGCCGCAGGTCATTAATATACATAATAAATAAAAAGGGGCCCTAATACACTTCCCTGGGGCACTCCAAGGTTGTTCCCCACGGGACTGGAAACAGAATCATTAAAAACAGTCCGTTGAGTTCTGTCAGACAAATAGCTTTCAAACCATTTATATGCAGTACTCGTAATTCCAAAGCGCTTGATTGTACTTAACAGTAAGGGCCTAGATTGTTTCAAAAGCGCGTTTCAGATCCAAAAAAAACAGCAACAATCGTATCTTTATGCTCCAAGTTGTCTTCCCACTTTGCTAACACCAAATTCAATGCAGTTTCACAAGAATGACCATCCCGATATCCCGATTGTTCTGGTATCAACAAAGAGTTGCTATTCAAATACTCCAGCTGGCCTTTAACAACAAGTTCTAAGATTTTCTCTAATGTGTGCAACATGTTGATAGGACGAAACTCTTCGGCTTTAATCGTTCCAGCAACTTTTTGAATGGGACCACTAAGGATTCCTTTCAAATTTGTGGCACATGTCCATTCTGCAATGATTTATTAATAAGGTCCAGAAAGATGTGGCCAATGACATGAAAGCAATCTTGAATAACTC